CACATACTGGGGTCTGTCAGTGAGGTAGTCCATGGTCCATGCAGCCAGCTGGTCACTGACCCCCACTCTCTCCAGCTTCACCCAAAGCAGTGAGGGTTGAATTGTATTGAAGGCACTGGAGAAGTCGAAGAACGTGATCCTCACAGTGTTTCCAGTGTCCTCCAGGTGAGACAGGGATTTCTGCAGCAGCTGGATGACGGCGTCATCTGTCCGAATGCCAGGCTGGTACGCAAACTGCAGAGGATCCATGTTTGGGCACACCAGGGGGCGAAGATAGTTCAGAATGATCCTCTCAGATGCCTTCAGTAGATGGGAGGTTAAGGCCACGGGTCTAAAGTGGTTGGGCTCCTTGGGGCGCGAGGTCCAAGGGAACTCTTTCCAGTTTCAGGCTTAGTTCAAAGATGTAGCAGACAACCTGACAGAGTTGGTCTGCACAATCCCTAAGGACTCTGGAGCTGATGCCATCAGGACCTGTGGCTTTCCTGGCTCTGGTCTTCCTAAGCTGCATTCTCACCTGATCCACTGTTGGTGTGAAGAGAGGAGGGGAAGATGGGGGGAGAGAGGAGGGCTCCAGAGATGGTGGTGGTGAGGAAAGTGAGGAAGACGGGGCTGGCAGGGAAGAGGAGCTGGAGGTAGTCAGGCTGGAGGGAGAGGGGATGAAACCAGTATCAAATCTGTTCAAAAACAGGTTCAGCTTGTTGGCCCAGTCCCTATCCCCAGGTTCAGGGTCCCTCTGTTTGCCTTTACCCTGCCCAGATATGGTCTGGAGTCCTCTCCAGACTTCTCTCGCATTGTTGTTCTGCAACTTGTCCTCCATTTTTTTCCCTGTAGTTGGCCTTGCACTCCCTGATCTTTCTTTATGAGATCCCTCTGTACCCTCCTCAGTTCTTCTCTGTCACTAGACTTAAAAGCCCTCCTTTTCTCCAGCGGCATGACTCTCAGCTCAGGAGTCACCCATGGCTTGTTCATTGGTGATTCTAAATTGTCCGTAGGTGAGAATGTGAGTGTGCTTGGTTGTCTGTCTCTAAGTGTAGCCGTGTGATAGACTGGTTAACTTCCCAGGTGTCCTCTGCCTTCGCCGTAAGTCAGCTGGGATAGGCTCCAGCCCCCCGCAACCCTAGTGAGGATTAAGCGGTGTATAGTTGATGGATGGATGAAAATAGTGACATTCATGTGAAAACAAACATTTTGCACATAAGTGTAATAATTCATTTCACTGTAGTTTTAAAGTTTTTAAACTTTAACATTTTGTAACTGTTTCAACACAGTCTATCTGTAGAAATACTAGAAGACTGTTAGATTTTAACAAAGATCCACATTAGATGAACTGCTCCTTCAACACCAATAAGTCATCACTTCACCCACAGTCATTCTGCCATCAGGCCTCTAGTGGCCATCAGACTTTCCCTCTTCAGTGATCTACCATCTCTCCTCCTATGCTTGCCTTTACTGACTGACAGCAAAAAAGATATTTGACTGCAATTCATACAGTACAACACAAAGTATGAACCCAGTAGGAGGCTTATAGGCACTGTTTGCTTTGCGAAATCAGGTTTGTCAGAAACACTGGGCAGGTGCTGCTGCTGTTTGTATTGCAGCACTCATTCAGAGACAACAGCGTTAATAACAGCCCAGTATGCTTTGCTTGCTTTGTCTGTCAGCTCTATGCTCATACCATTCCAAATGCAGTGTCTTTGCACTAGGTAATCTGTTAATGAATGACAGGTGGTTTGTGATTGTGTTTACAGCTGAAATTATTTTTATCCACCTCTTTTATTGACATACATCTCAAAACCAGTTTCACTCCCTGTCAAACTAAATTATTGAGAGAGACTACTGTCTGGTAGGAATACTTTTCATATGGCTAATGAACCAACAGCAACATTTTAAACTAAAAGCACACAAAGTAGAGTGTCCATGCTTTGTACTGCATAAAGGTAGTTATTTTGCCAAGAATTCTGTATAGTCTGTGTTCTGTGCTGACGTAATGACCAGGAAGTGTCCTTATTTTCCCCCTGAAATTGCGGTTCCAATGAAGATGCCTTTGTGTTGAAAGAAGCTCTACCATTCCGTACAACCTTTGAGTAAATCAGTCTAATCTTAAAAGTGCACTCATCAGCTTGGTTTTTCTCATCACATTTTTGAGACTTCTTAAAAGATGATTAGACCTCGGAAACTCCACAAGACTGTAGTGTACAGTGTGTGTACCTTGGTTTTTTTTTTTATTACATTTTATGGCTTACTGTTTACAAAGTTCAGGTGTCATCTTGAACCATGCTCAGTTGTATAAAAGTCATTTCCAGTGAGAGTGTATGGGGAAAAAAATATTGCACATACAGTGTCCCTTTTGTATTTGTGTGGTATTTTCAGCTTAATTAAAAAGTATGCTATTGATAATTGTAATTTATGAGACTCCACCTACAGCACAACATGGTGAAAAGTGCAGTCTTCAAATAGCCTGTGTTTGTGCTACATGTCAAGTATTGTGTATTATTCATAGAATCTGCATTAGGCCCAATTACTAAATACAAAAATGAGTGATAGAAGAGCTGAGTTTACAGCAGTGATCTGATGTTGCCACACATCTGATAAAAGCACTGTGTAGTCACAACACACTGCAAAGACAGAAACAAACTGCAAATTTAAACACAACCAAATACAGGCTACAACAAAAATGTTTTTGTGGAGGCACTAAAATGTAGTAGACATGGCCGGGACACCCTTCTTGTTGCTATGGTTACCCATGAAGTTTATGAATTCGACTATCCACCACTGGTATCAGGTTTTGCGTGCAATTTTTCTGTTTGTTTATTTGCTTTAACACTCTAATGGGATGATTCATATTCTATGGCAGATATATGCTATTTTCCCTCAGGTAAACTGAGGTATCCCAGAATAATTATAGCTCACTAGCAAATATATCTGCAGCAAGTAGATGTTTTTTAAGAGTAAAATTTTCTTTGAAGAAACATTACCTTTTGACAGTTCTTTCGCAGAGCTTCTGTTTTTGTGTGGAACATCAGAAGTTGTTCTCAGGATTTTCCACCATAGGCTCCATTGTACTCCTAGTTGCTGTAGGCGACTTCTACATTTGCTCTTCTTTTAAGCTCACAAACCAATCATTGCTGGTTAGTGTAAAGCACAGGCTACTGGTGCATTAGCGTGAGAATGTCGTAACAACAGACTCAAACTCTGGGATACTTTGAAATACAGAAAAATGTACTGTATCTGATGCTTATAGGCCTGATCTACCATGTGTGAACTTGTTTGACGAGGGCTTTAATGCAGCAGATATTTGTAAAAATCACCAACTCTACCCATAAGTTGCAGTATCTTGGCACTATACCCTTGAGCAAAACAGAGCCATTGGTAATGTTGTTGACAAGACAAAATGTCTGCTGCAAAAAGCCCTTTTTTATTACCCTAAAAAGCAGTCTGCATGTGAATTATTTAAGTTTTTTGTAGATTAGGAATTAGGTGGAGGTGGAGCAGAATTTTTCTAGATTCCTGCTCCACCTACTGTTATTTACCTTTAGTTGCTTAATTTTTGGAGTCACAGTTTAAAGTTCACAAGGTACAAAGCTCACCAAAAATCATACAATTTCCTGCTAAAATGTTTACTCCAAGCGGTCAGGGCAGATAGCTGCCCTCCCTGACTCTGGTTCTACTGGTCCTTTGGGAGTTTTTTTCCCCCACTTTTGCGAGGTGCTTGTCTCTCTATAATAACCATAATAACATTGTAAAATCTCTTCCTTACTATGTAAAGTGTCCTAAGATGACTTGTGTTGTGACTTTACACTGTATCGATAAAATTTAGTTGAAGTGAATTGAATTGGTAAGGCATTGGAAGCTAAAAAATGCCTTGATAATTTATCATATCTCAAACAGCATGAGCTAATTATTACCGTCCAGAAGACTGTTTGCATTGTTGTTTTGTTATTCTTTGTTTCCTCATTCTTTGCTTTATTTTTACTATTCCAACAGCAATATGAGCTCTGCTATATGGATTGTACTGACGCTGTCATTAGCACTGGCTGATTAAAATCGTGTTTTCATTGCCATCGTGATATGAAGAAGTTTTCTTTGCACATACCATGCATGCAAACAATTGAGCTGTCAGTTTGAGCTGTGCATACATGCACCATGCATTCGTTTTATTAGCATCAGCTTCCTCCAATTAATTGCTCTTAGTTTGGTGGCAACTGTGAAGTTAGCTAGCATAATGGCTGAGAAAAGCAAAGAAAATGCCAATATGTTTTTGCTGAGTTTAGAGAGAAATATTTTCAAGAAAGCAGCAGGGAGAATTAAACTTCTTTCTTATCTTTAAAATGTCTTTTTTGTAAAAATGTTCTGATTTATTTGTTGGTATTCATGAGCAATCTGTTTAATAAAAGCATGTTTGATATAATTTATTCCATTTCCTTGTTCGATGGGAATAGGTTACTCAGTGTTTGGGGTCTCTGTGAGCAATAGCTGTTTGTTTATTGCAAGGTGTTTCATCACTGCAAGATTGAACAATGTTGTAGCACATTTCAGATTTTCCTTAAATTTGGCAGGCCTGATGATCACATTGTTTGAATAAGGGGATATTTTATGTAAAAGCAGAATGGTTGCAAACATTACTGTGGCTCACCACTGAATATTATTAGCAGTGAATGCACTTCCATTGCACAGTGACCAGATGTCACAAATAAAGGTCACAGAATTCAGTTTTTCTAAATGTCTTTGATATGTAACTATTGAAAAATTAAACATGGAAAATATCTGCTTTTTGTTGGTTGTCTGTATTTATGGGATGGCTACTGAAGACCAAAATTTGTTTCAGTGCATCTCATCATAAGAATTCATGTTGTTACCTATAACCTGCAGTAGAGGACTGTGGCGCAAAAATTTCCCAACAAGTTTTGAATGTTTGAAAATGTGCGATTGATGATTTGCAGCTTGGTCAGTCAAGCCTAAGATACATGACAGTGATTGATTCCTCTCTCTGTTTTTCACAGTAGCTGTCAGTGATGTCCAGATCTTAGACACAGACTGGACCTCCCTGCCATCATGGATTCCAAGAAGCCGGGCGTGCTGCGGCATCTCCGGCAGAAGATGCTGCCACACCTCCGACGAGGCAAGACAAGCTCAAGCAAGCAGGCCTTCCAGCCTGATCACTCCATGGACCATCGAATGAGCTCCTCTGTTCCCGACATGAGGAACATGAGGGACACAAGGGACACAAGGCAGGAGTACACTCATATCCCTTTCACCACGCAACTTCAGCAGTACCACGCTCCCAGCTACAGCAACCCCTCCACACCACTTGTCAAGCCAGCTAGACTGCTGGTAGGAGGTGGGAGTGGCCTGAACATGGGAGTAGCTGGTGAAGGAGCTGGGAGGAGTGAGCACAGATTGACAGTGCCTGCAGACTGCACAGACTGGGCTTCCTCCCAGGAGTCTTTCAGCAGTCTCTGTGGAGAGGAGCAGAGCCCTGTGGAGACAAACAACAGACCTGTTCGAGGCATGGAGGCTGAGGAGCTGGCTCTACCAGAGATGATGACAATCTACAGCGCAGACAACCCTTCTGTGGAGGTTCCCCAGGACAGCTCACAGGTACTTCATTTGAAATAAAATGAAATAAATAAAAAAAACTGTGACAAATCAGTCCTTGAATCATAAGCAAGGGTCTTTATATAATTTTAAAAAAAGGACTTAAACTTGTCAGACATTAACATTCAGAGAGACATTTTAGGTTCCAAGATTTAGCTGAACGTTTCCATGTTGGATTTAATACCTTTGTACAGTCAGCATCAGTGACAGTCGAATAGAGTGACATTTTTCCCCCATAACATGCAGGTAAAACCATAAGGTACTTAAAAATAAATTGGCTTGCTTATTGTGCATTGGTGGAGTTTGAGGTGTCAGGTGTATTTGCACAGGAGGAACAAAGTTTAACTTGGAGGAGTTACATGTTGTTGTACCTGGAAGTCCATCCTAAATCAATAGTTCACAGCAGCACTGACACAGCCAACTCTGCCTGTGTTTTTATACTGCCTTCATATCAGATTTAAGTCAGTCACAGTCAACAATGACAAGGATGTGGATTTTAGTGACGGTGCCTTACAGACAGGGTCACATTTAGCACTTGATACCAGTGGCGGCTGGTGAAATTTTTTGGTGTTGGGGGCGCAGTCTGCAGATGACCTTTTATTTTTAATCAGAAATTAGAATATGAATAACATCAGGCACAACTATTTACAGGAATGCAAATGTTCTACCTTTGGAGGATATTATAATCATAATCTAATTTAACATTATTAAGACTTACCAGAACTACATTTCAAAACCATTCATCAAACTTTCATCAATATTTACAGGATCTGTACAAACTGAAAAAACACAATATTAATAATGAAAAAAACATTATTTAGGGCTGCAGACTAACTTTTTCACTGGTAGCACCAGTACGACCAACTTTCTCATTTTGCTGCACCTCTCACCTGGTCAAAGGCAAAACATATGACTTGCTGAACATGTGATTTACTGATGCTCCCTGAACGCCCCACATAGCAGGCTGTGGTAGCTGCTTGGCGGCTGTGGTGCTCTGACAGGTGTGTTACCAAAAATTACTTTAAAAGTCATAAACTCGGGCGTTCTCATGTCAGATTTGTCCGAGGTTAAACCCAGTTACATTTTTTCTACACGCGGTCTTTTCTATGAGCGGACAAACAGCGAATGCAGGCGCGCTCTGTTTTTCAGGAGAAGACCTCGTTTTTAAGCGTAAATGCTGCAGTACAACAAAGATATAAAAGTACTACTTTCCACCACTGTGGTCCACACAGCAGCTTCCTGTGCCGGTAACAGCGACACTACTACATGATCATCATGTTCATCAATTCACACACTCTCAAATAAAAAGATCGCAAATGCAGTGTGGAGCCCTGCTGTTTGAACAAAAACTTGACTCTTCTCTCTTTCTGCTCTGCAAACCTCTCCATTACTTTTTGGTTGAAGTCACTCAACTCTGTGAGCAGCCTTTTCTCCATTGACAATGCATTAAAGTCATCACTACAGTAACTGTCACCAAGTAGAAGAGGAGGGGAAAGGCCGTATGGTGGTGTCAGATATGTATTTAAAGCGCAGTCAAAGGACAGTTTTGATATCCAACCATAGAAGACAAAAGCAGGCAAAGACAAAATTAATTGGCTTACAGCGAAAGTGGAATTGCAAGGTAATTCCACCTTGTGGGCTTGGGGTAAGGTGCTCCAGTGTTTTGCCAAGTTGTGTTTGCTGTCTGATTTTTGACTAATCACATGTGATGTCAAATATCTAGCAGAACTGTCAATCATATTTCTCACTTTGTATCATAGTACTTTTAAACTGTAAATGCTGAATCACAGGTTTGCTTTAAATCTTCCTGTCTTGCTTTAATAGCTGTCTTTATCTGCAGTAAGATGGAGACTACAATAAAACAACAAGCAAATGTGAATAGACTATCAGAGGTGTTACCAAATACATTTGAAGACATCACAGATGAAATACTGGCACCAGCTGGGTGAATAACAGAGCGACCATACACAAAATCTGGCATGGTGAATCATTTTGATCAGTATAAATATTATTTTAGTTTTTTAATGTTTTATTTCCTTTTGCGTTTCTTTTTTATTCCCTTAAATCCTGGCACTTCAGTAGAAATCAACTACACTTCTCTTTTAGGTTCTTGAAGAAATTTCACTTCTCATCCAAGAGGCCTCTCCAGTTCTAACTGGCTGATGTGGAGTTTTCGTTTTGTAGTCACTCCAGCTCACATGGCTAATGGCTCATTAACAACCAGGGCTCATGTGACTCAAGGTGTGAATTACTCTGAAACCAGGTGGTCCAACAACAACGACAGTGATCATGGTGGTGAAGCAGCCTGTTTACACAACATAGATGTAAATCTGCCATGTCAGGAGTCACTCAAGATGCTACTGATGGTGAAACTTTCTGGGGAGAGACCTTATCACTGAGTTATACGTGCTTGATCGATGGTGTCACTGACCCCTTCTTCTGTTTAAAGATGCGGTTCCAGTTTGATTGGATGCCTTCTTTCACTCCTCTCTCAAACCATCTGTCCTCTCTGTCTAAAATGTGTACATTGCTGTCCTTAAAGGAGTGTCCCCTATTCTTCAGATGCAAGTGAATATTCTCAGCCTGGTGCTTTAAGGTTCTGATGAGCCCCACCTTGTGTTCCAGTGGGTGGTAGGAATGGAACGGCAGATATTGCTGTATATGTAGGTTTTCTATAGACTTCAATGTTGAGTCTTCCATTCTCCTCAACATGGACAGCACAGTCAATAAGGGAGACCAGACAGCTTCACGTGGCTCAGTGGCTCAACACAGATTCCTTGGTTGTTAACGGACCATTAGCTATGTGAGCTGGAGTGACTATAAACATCTGAAACTCCCCGTCAGTCAGTCAGAGCTATAGAAGCCTCTTGGATGGGAGGTGAAACGTCTTTAGGAACCTACAAGAGTAGTCCAGTTGATTTCTACTGAAGCTCCTTGGACTATCATGAATTAGATGACTGAGAATCTACATAGACATATTCCCTTAAATATTTTTTGCCTGATTTCATTGTGGGTGGGGTTTAGAAGAGACAAGGTTCAGCCAGAGTGCGACGGAGAAGCAAATGAAATGTTGGTTACATTGATTTTCCACAGATGTAATGTATGTGTTGCTGAACCACGTTAGCAAGTAATGAATGTTGTCTGATCACATTTTACCACACCTTTGTTGTGGTAACATTTTTTGCAGTAAGCTCACAAATTATGCCGAAACAAAGTGATATCCATGGTTCTGAAACCTTTTTCAATAGATCCAAGAAAATTGCATCAAACATCAACTTTTACAGTCGTGAACAAAAGTTTACAGACATATTTAAAGAATATGTAAACCATAGCAGTCTTGAGTTTCCAGTAACTCCTATAACTGAATTTTCGATGAAAGAATCACTGGAACAGACGTCTCTTTGTCACAGAAAACAATTATGACAACAGTGACAGGGATTTCAGAAGAAGTTGTGGAGCCACACAAGTACGAAATCCATACATACAACTGTGAACCAAAGTTCTCAATTTTCTACAATGGAGTGACTAAAACACATGCATCTTTGTCACAAAAACCAATTATACATTGTGGTTATTTCACAGATTTACTACAGGTCTTCAGGAAATGTGACAAAATCTGCTGGGTCAAAAATCTATGTACAGCAATGCTAATATTTGGTTTATCATCCACTGGCTATTTTAAACTCAACTAGACACTTTCGGTAGTTGTGAACAAGCATCTGGCAAGCTTCTGGTAGTACCTTTTACCACTCCTCTTGGAAGAATTTGCACAGTTACGCTATTTTTTTTGGCTTTCTGACAGAATATTTTCTTCATCACAGGCCACAGTTTCTTGGTAGGGTTCAAGTCAGTACCTTAGGAAAACCAGTCTATAGCCTTAATTCTAGCCTTATTTAACCACTTCTACCACTTTCATGTGTGTTTGGGCCCATTGTCTTGTTGAAACAAACAACTGCATCTAACACCCAACCTTCGGACTGATAATTTTAGGTTTTCCTGAAGAATGTGGAGGTAATTCTTCTTTTCATTGTTCCGTTTACTTTGTGTAAAGCTCCAGTTTCACTAGCAGCAAACAGTCTTGGGGCATAATACTGCCACCACCATACTTAACCGTAGGTTTGGTGTTCTTGGGGTTAAAGGCCATACCTTATCTCCTCCTTCTTTTCCTCCAAATATATTTCTAAAATTTTTGTTTTATGTGACCACAGGACTTTGTTTCAGAAGGCCTTTTCTGTGTCCATGTGATCAGCAGCAAATTTCAGTTGAGCCTTAAGGTGCTGCTTCTAGAGCAAGGTCTTCCTTTTTCTAGCCTCTTAGTCCATGGTGATGTAAAACATGCTTGACTGTGGACACTGACACCTGTATAGCTTCCAGTTAACTGCAGACCTACATTTTGGTTACTTTTGGTTGGCTCTTGAGTATTCTGACCAATTGTCTCTTAGCAGCAGGTGATAGCTCTTTTTTTTTTCTTTCTTGACTTGTTCAAGTAAATGGTTTCTTTTTTCAGATCTTTGCTGAGCTCCTCAAACTTTCCCACTGTGATGTTTGAGGCTGATTCTAATGAGTGTTTGAAATGGGCCCTCTTTTAATCGGCTCAGAGAACTCAGCAGCTGTAATCAGTTGTTATCACTTATAAGAGTTAGGAGGCCCTGCCACAAAGAAAATATGATGAACACAGCTTTCTACATCACCAAAAACTGATCATCCCAGTTGCTGTTTGTATCATTTTGGACCCAGCAGATTTAGTCATATTTTCAGAAGACCTTTAATAAATATATTGAAAAAACCCCCACAAACAAACAAACAAAAATGCATGATTGTTTACAAAGACACATGGATTTCACTTATTGCATCACAGAAAATTCTGTAAATTCTACGAGTCATTGGAAAATCCAGACTGCCATGATATACACTAATCCCAAAAAAATAAAGGGAACACCAAAAAAACACATCCTAGATCTCAGTGAATGAAATATTCCAGCTGAAAAACTTTATTCATTACA